GAGGGCTCTGTTTTTGTTTTTATTCAGAATGCCAGATTCAACACTCATTTTCTTCTGGTCCCTTCCAAAATTCCATGAAAATGATAATAGAGATAAAACAAAAATTCACAAATTCATAAGGAGAAAGAACAGGAGCAGTTCAATAACAACATTTGGGAGTTGGAGTTTGAAAAACAAATTCAGTTAGTAGTGAATGTCAACAGAATGAAGAAAGGTTTATCCGAAGCTAGTAGTGGAGCAAGCAGGGCAGTAATCAATCCATTTTGCACTGCAAGACCATTAAAAATATCAAGAACTGGTGGAAACAGGTGCCTCTGGAAGTGAGGGAGAAAATGGAGTTGGGAGAGGAGGACTAGTTACCATTCTACCAGTCTGATACCCAAGAAGAAATCTAGAGAGTCATTCACTGGAGAGTGTAAAACAAGAGGGTCTCTAGAAGAGGAATATCAAGCACAGTTGAGGACAGGAGTCTTATACTGAAAGCCTCTCCCAATGGCAGTTAGGTTTATATCCTCCAGAAAAGTGACTGGAAGATTCTCTGGATTTAATTAGTTGTTTTGTTTCCCAGAATAAGGGGAGCATCAGGTCACCCTAAAAGACAGACCACAGTCAACAAGTCTTCTCCACACTACAGAAATTTCCAATAAGCATTCAATACTCCTCTGTTAAGCAGGCAAGAATCACCAGACATTTGAGGAAAGTATCTATTGTGAAATGCAGAGAGTAAAACAGGTCAGAGGGAACAGTCCATGCAAATAGATGATAAATTAGATGCAAATAGATACAATTTTTAAAAATCTATCATTAATATTCCTACAAAGATGAAGGAAAAAATTGCATTCATGTAGTATAACAAAATCTTATGCAAGAAGCATTCAGAGAATAAGAACGTGCTCATGAGAATTATAAATGGTGGAAATTTAAAAAGTTACTAGAAGGCTCAGAATAATACATCAAGAATAGCTCCTAGAAAATAGAATAGGCAAAGACATGGGATGGAATAAGCAAAGTGCCCTTCCAAATATATTAGAAGATCAATATATTAGAGGTCTGATATAATAAGATTTCCAGAAAGAAACTAAGAATAGAAAAAGATAAAATTAGAAAATTTAGAAAATTTTTAGAAAATTTAGAAAATTTTTTAGAAATTTCATTTAGAAAATTTCTCAGAATTGAAAGGCATAAGTATGTAAGGAACACAGAAATATGTAAATCAATGTAACACTCACTCTGAAGTTTCAGAACATTGAGGCAAATAGAAGACCTGTGGGTTTTCAGAGAGAAAAAAATAAGATAACTAACAAAGGATCAAACGTCAAAAATGCATTGGATTTTTCAGTATGGGAATTTAGAAGAAAATGGAACAATACTTTCAAACTATCAACTAATGACTTCCAACCAAGAAATCAATCCTCTGGCAACCTATTAAACATGAGGGTAGAATAAAGAAGTGACCTATAGATTTATAACTGACAACAGCTAGAAAAGGTGGATAATACATACACGTGGCATGGTCTTCATGGGGCATTTTTGTAGAAAGGACACACCTACTTCAAATCCTCAGTTTGAAGCCCAAGAAGAACATTAGAAAACCAAAAACAACAGTCCTTAGATAGGAATAAGAAGAAGTATCCATAGATGTCCAGCTTAAGTCAAGGCAAGACAAAGAATAGGACTTTCAGAGATGAGGCTGTTGACACAAGGGAGTTTTCTGATCAAAGATCCCCAGTAGGGGCGCCTGGGTGGCTCAGTGGGTTAAAGCCTCTGCCTTCGGCTCAGGTCATGATCCCAGGGTCCTGGGATCAAGACCTACATCAGGCTCTCTGCTAAGCGGGGAGTCTACTTCCCCCTCTCTCTCTGCCTGCCTCTCTGCCTACTTGTGATCTCTGTCTGTCAAATAAATAAATTAAAAAACAAAACAAAATAAAAAAGAGCCCCAGTAGAAGCAGGTAGAGTAGAAGGCAATATACAAGGTGGGGGAGTTGACCAACCAAGGGAAATACACAAGACTGTGGGAATTGCCAGAGAACCATAATGGCAACAAAGGACAACAGAGAGCACTGTTTTACAGTGATGCCTGAAATAATCAGGATGTAAAACATAACCGAAGTCACTGTGATAGTCTCAAAGAATCCCAGGCATTGGTTCTCTGAGCAGTCTTTCTACTCAAAGTGTGGTTTCACGACCAGCAGCCTCGGCCTTATCTAAGAGCTTATTAGAAACATAGAATTTTTAAAAAAGAAAGAGAAAAAAAAGTACAGAATCCTAGGTTCTACCCAGATGTAATGAATCAGAATCTGCATTTTAATAAGACCAGTGTGCACAATAAAGTTTGAGAAGCATTTCTCTAGCTATTTACCTCTAAAATACAAGGCACTGTTTTTTCTCTTCTTATTCCTGGCAAGGGACTCACTGTAGGCTGAAGGTGTTTCTTTCTAAAATATCGTTGTCAATCATTACTAGATTGCAAACTTCTTAAAGACAAGGACCATTTTGTGTATCATTAGTCTCTGATGCCTACTACAGTCACAAAAACATCAATGATATTTCCTAAATATTATTGAATATTGAACAGCAATAGTGACTACACACATGCAGAAAAAGCTCCCCTCTAATGCAGTCGGACTGATAAATGATTAATAATTTGAAAAATATAGTTAAAACAAAGCCATAAGAAGATATGTATCAAATACTTTCAACTTAAAGCACACACATTCATTCCTACACTTGTATGTACATTGATTTCTTCACAAACATTCTATTGAAAGGCCAAGGCCTTTTGAGTATGAGTCAGTTTATGAGAATTATGCAACTTCTTTCCTGCACAAACCACAGTAAAAATGCATTGTCTGAAGATCCTTTGTTTTGCTTTTTTAAAAAGTAAATTGGAAGCAATTTGAGTGCAGAATCTTCTGAGATATTTGTTTTTTCTTTTAAAGTTCTCATCCACACATAACTTAGCATTTTTTAAAAAATAATTTGACATCTGTTGTTGTCCCAAAGCATCCAACCTTGTTTTCTCAGAAATAACAACTCCTTGTATTTTTGCATTTATATTTTGATGGCTTATGTAGTATTTAATTAAATTGTCTAACAAGAAGGCCAATTACCTGGCAATATAGGGACTTAATAGTTCATCATTATTGGTTGTAAGAATAGGCCATTTTAGTATATTGCTTATTTTCTCTTGTGGCTAGTCACATCCAGTGCTCAGTGAGCCCACCCGTCAGGTTAACCCTCGCAGGTCTGGCAGCGTAGCTTACCCATCGAGAGTTCTCAGGACTGAGTCCTCTGCAATGAAGGCAACGTGTCAGGTCTTGTGAAGCAATTAGACCATTTGCTATGGTCGCTTGAAATTGAGCAAGGGCTCCATAATTTCACACTTGCATGTATTCGGATCTCTCAGGTAGATGGCAACTCAACTCCATAAACAGATTCCTTTTAGCATTGTTTCAAAATTCAGACTCAAAAGATACTACCTCTATCCAGAAGGGTAAATCCCTAACGAAATGAGTTATGTGACACTTGAACTGAGGCTCCAAAATCAGGTAAGAAGGACCCTACCTTGATGCATTTACTACTGCTATAATAAAACCAACTAATCTGAAGAGATTTGGGGTTGAATCTTGACATGATAATGCATGCCTAATACACAGACAGCACTCGAATTTTTTTTAAAATATGATTTTTATTTACAAAATATCTTTGAGGATTTGTTTTGTGAGATATAATGAACTCTAAGAGCAGTATTTGCTCCTGGATGTTTACTCTAGAGTAACAAATTGAGAAACAGAAATTGTGCACGTGCGTGGGCACCAGTGTATATTTCACAATACATATTAGTATTTAGCTGTAGTAATAAAAATATCTTATTAAAGAAATATCACATACGAATAAGCTGTCATGTCATGAAATTAAATCATAATGTTACGACGCTATTTCAAAAAAATTTTTATTGATTTTATTTGAGAGAGCGAGCGAGCCCACAAGTGGGGAGGGACGGGGGAGAGGGAGAAGCAGATTCCCTGCTGAGCAGGGAGCCTGACCTAGGGCTGGATCCCAGGACTCTGAGCTTAACAGGGTCCTGGCAGACGCTTAACCAACTGAGCCACCCAGGTGCCCCTATGAAAATCATTTGTCTCTCTGCTCCATAAGATCTAAGCTCGAAGACAATAGAAGACTCATTCTGCCTCCCATAACTTTGGCACGTTAGACCTATAATAAATATTAGTTGAATTGAAATAAATGTTGGCACTATAATAAATTAAAGAATGCAGGTCTTTTTTTTTTTTTTTTAAATCTCATTTATTTATTTGAGAGAGAGAGAGGGGGAACGCAAGTGAGTTGGGGAGGAGCCGAGGGGAAGGGAGGAAGGGAAAAAATCTTCAGCAGACTCTGCACTGAGTGCGGAGCCTGACACTGGAAGTTAGTGATGCTCAACCTCAGAACAAGAGATCATGACCCCAAGATTGTGACTAGAGCAGAAACCGAGAGTCAGTCGCCTAACCAACTAAGCCACCCAGGTGCCACAAGTCCCCAAGAATGCAGGTCTTTTGATGCAAGTTCAAAGTTACAAACAATGAGGTGATAGGGCCAATGATTTAAAAATATTTTCTTTTGTACAACTGAGGATCAGCAACATTTAAAATATGAAGCCAATCATACTTTAGTTCTTAGATAAGAATACAAGAGGTCTCTTTATAAAATGGACCAAAAAGAAAAGTGTTAAATCTATGTAGGCATCACATTTTAAAAAAATTACTCCATCAGATGCTCAAGGAATATCAGAAATTAGTACAAAATTTTCAAAATATCTAACACACAAAATCTTCTCCATTCCCCATCTTTTATGCCATCATCACGAAATACTTGAGTATTCCTTAAGAAATATCTGATGGCTCTACAGTAGGTACTTAAATTAAGTATACAAAATTCATGCTCCCCCCATTTAATAGGAATGATATATTTTATCCAAAAGAGGAAAGAAATTTAAATAAAAAAGTTACAACAGTGATAAGGATTCATTTTATTGTGTTTTCCACATAGAAGATTTTTTTGATGAAAAAAATTCTTTACAAAGATGATCTAAATTGAATCAGTAACAAACAAAATTTAGCTTTTAAATGAGTCAAGTATTCTGCATTTGAAATTCAATTCCACAAACATTCAAGATTAGTGAATTTTGGTAAGGAAAAAGGACTAGCAGAAAGGAAAAAGACATCTTTTCAACAGATAGTACTTTATAGTTTTTTTTTTAATTGCTTTGGGAAAACACACAGTATAGTTATTTAAGAAATATATTTTAAGCAAGATTTAAGTGCTTTAAGTCAAGTGGACTTCAGACTAAAAAATATTTTAAAATTTGCCAAGATACTGAAGTGTTAAAAATATTCTTATTCATTTAATTTCATGTTTAAGGAAACCTATGACAGATAAGAAAACAAAAGGCAAAAAAGTTTACCTGCATTTTTATATAATAAATTCTAGATCTATAAAAATTTCCTGGTTTATACACAAAGGCCAATGCTTGACCTTCATTGATCCATTTCTATGTAGTTAAAAAAATACAGTATCAAATCTTTCTCCCCCCCCAAAAACTAGAAGAAATATTTTAAAGTGTGAGTGTGTGAATGTAGCTATGCATATCTTTAAGTGTACAAAACACACAAATATCACTTTACTTAGAAAATTATTTTCATCATACTGTAAACATCTCTTCCCCTACATCTGGACATTTCAAAATAGTCTTTGGTATTATTAGTTATTGTGCTTTGAAACGGAAACTTAAAAGATTTCTGTAGCAATGCTACATAGATATTTTAAGACATAAATAAGAAAAATGCACTTGGAATAAGTTACAATTAGCTGCTTTTGCATAATTTTCAAAAACTACAGTGTATGCCTAGTCACAGTTTTATGAGAAAGAATATCTCCTTTTTCAACTCCTTAATTTTAAGGAACACTTAATCATTTTGGCTAAAAATCCATTTTTGGAGTGGATCTGATGGATTGCATGACACCAAGCTCGGATGCTCTCCATTTGCTGAAAGGCACATTTTTAAGAATGGATTATATAGAAGTTGGTCCTAGAAAAAAAGGAAACACAACAGACATTAAATTTCAAGACTCATGGTTAACTGATAAATATGAAAACTAAATCATAGTCTCATCGAAGCTAAAGGACACTCACAACCAAATGTACACAGTTGACTTTTAATCTTTCTCAGATCAATCTTGTCTGATAAAATCTTTCTGGTTTCTGGTGTAAACCGTATCATTTATGCCACTACTGTTTGATTCACAGGAGGTATTAGATAAATAAAGAGATATATAGAGAGTAAGGTCTGAATCAAGTTTTCAAATAAGAACCATTCCATTGTTATATCCATAAGTGACAAACTCTTTAAAAAATTATGTTATAAAAATTGGTCTTTTAGTATTTTAGTAGGGTACAAAACAATTTTCAGGTAAGGTAAAGTTTAGCTATGTTCCAGCTAAGCTTTAATACATATATTTAAAAACAGCAAAGATTTTTTATGTATTCTCTCAATTCTAAATTCATTTAAAAAAGCACAAAAACAGGAGAAATGAATCACTTTAGGGACAAAAAAGATAATGATTTTTTTCTCTCGGCCATGATAAAAAAAAAAAAAAAGCGACTGTTGCCAGAAGCATTGTAAGAAACTCTAAAAAGACAAACATGAGCAACTATTATTAATAACTCACAAAGGTGTTGACGGTATAAATCATGCTTTCATTAAGCAACTTGTTCCTACGAGTATTTAATTCATAGAAACATTCTCTCATCACATTGGTAGACAGACACAATAACAAAGTTAACGAAGAGAAATACTGACAGATCACATTACTATGCTATGTTTCATGCATTTTCCCAGATAAGCAACTCGTGCTAATCAAAATAATTATGGAAAGGGGTGAATTAATTGCACTGAGGTACCTTCTGGATCTCCCATATCTGTTCTCCGCTGGCCACTGTCCTGTGACCTTTGTAGGCACACGCTCTCAGCTGAACAAGACCTTGAGCAGCATGAAGACATAATTCCCTCTGGATGTTATGCCGAATTTCATGTTGAGCCGAGTATTCAAAATACTGTGAAAAGAAGAATGTTGTTACTGACCTGTATCCTCAGCTGCAAAATAATGGTCCAATAATAATAATTTAAAAAAATCAGCAACTTGCTGAATAATGAAGTCCTGTGTACTCAACAAAGTAATACAATAAAAATAGGTGTTAGAAATATGAGTTTCATGACAGAAGATGCTATAACCCCTTCCCAACCTATCCCCAGCAGGTAGTTACATAACAAGGTACTGTCTCCCTCCCATGTCAGAAACGGGAAGTAAGTCAGGTGGAATAGAGGTTAGCCAGGACAGGTACGCCACAGAAAAGGACCTGGAAACTTCTAGTAAGCACGTTAATTGCCTCTTCTTCCTCTCCACAAGTGTTCCTTCTCTCCTATTCCTCTCAATTAATGGCATTTTCACTTACACTAGGAACAATTAAATGAGGTAATCTCCATGTCTCAGTTTCCTTCCCTGTAAAATGGGTGATTTTATAGTTTTCCTGCACCACAGGGTTATGAGGCTAAGAGGGCTAATCTATGTAGAACACTCAGGACAATAACTGGTACATGGTAAACTTTTAATTCATCTTAGCTGCTATTACTAGGATTAATGTTTCTCTCTCTCCGTATGTCCAATGTATTAATCAACCCCTTAGCTCTACTGAATTTCCCTCTCAGATGTCACCATTGCACTTTGCTCTGTACCTCACTTCTCTTATTGCAGCACTCAGAACCTCCACTGTAATACTTCCAGCTACCTGCAATTTCTGCAATTTCACTCTGCTCTGAGCTGGTCTTTCATAACACTGATTTGATGCCCTACCTCTCTTCCTCGAGTGAGTCACTACTGCTGCTAAGAGGAAGTTCACACTCCTTAACAAGTACATGAACTCCTCCGTTTTCAATCTTACATCAACCACTGCCTGAACTGTACACCATGTTCTTCTCACACAATTTTACCAATGTAGAGTATATGCACCCATAAGTCTAAGACTGCTTTACTGTGTTCCGCCTGGAATATCCTTCCAGATCCTTCTCTGCCTAGCTAATTCCTTTTTTTATCCTTGTAAAGCCAATTGAAATGTTACTTTGCTTCTTTAATTTCCCTGAGGTTGTCCTACTGAACTAAATCACACCCTTTTCAGGCTTCCTATAGTACATCAGAAATAACTTTTATAGCATTCTATTGGAATTGTGCGTGTAGCTAGCTGGCTTCACCACAGACCAAAGTCAGGCAGCGTATCTAGTAATAACATCCCTCACAAATCAAATACTCCATAATGTTGACATTCCAAAGATAAAATAAGTGAACATAATGGATGTTCAATAATGAAGTAATTAGTCTTAGCACTAATATTTATTGAGCCCTTTTTATGTGCTAAGCAGGGTTTTTTCTAAACCCTTTATGTGTATTAGAGTAGGCACTCCACAAACATTAACTGAATTAATCTTGAGTTCCCCTGGTCTTGGCCTCATGCTTAATTTAGCTCCTTCCACAAATATATCCATCATTTTTATAACTGATAGTTCTTCAGATGAAGACACTGAATGAAAATGAGTGTAGATCATGAAAATAGCGTTTTGGCTATACTTCTTGAAGAGAGATAAATCTTAGGATCTCAAAGATGGTAGGAAAGTCTGTCCAATATTTTACTTCACATACATCATTATTTTTTTTTAAATCATTAAAAGTCAAGTTATAAGGAATAGGAAATAGTTGAAGATACTTTGGCAACCAAAAAGAATATGCAATTAGCTACCTGGGAACACTGGAGAAACATAACCTAGAACCAGGACAAATACCCTGGAATAAGAAGCACAGGAACAAAGCCCACTGTTACAAAGCCATAATGACTTACACAGCACTGCACTAGTATATTGATCAATATAGCCACATTATCAACATATTTACTTTTAGTTGGCATATAAAATACTGTTACAATGGAGTTTTATGTTATACAAAGATCATTATCTGATCAAAACAGTAAAAGGGCACATAAAGAAATGGTCAGGTTAGATGATATCTCAAAACGCTTAGCACTCAAGGAACTAAAATTTGCAAAGTATTTTAAATGCAGTGCATGACTGAAAAAAAATTTGAAGGAAATAAAATAAAATCGATGGCTATATTACAGTGCTAGAAATCAGAGTCATTTTCTTAAAATATAAACTGGGAAATAGTATCCTCCTGCTCAAAACCTTCATATAGCTTCTGTCAAACTGAGAATTAAATCCAAGTTCCTAGGGAAGGCCTGCAAAGCCTTCTATGACCAGGCTTCTTATCGATGTCTCTGACCTTGTTTCCCACCCTGTCTGCCCAGACCACTCTGCTGCAGCCACACAGTGGCTTTCTGACTGCTCCACTGACCCGCCGCCCCTAGTTTCTAGCCTTGCACCGCCTCTGCCAGGACACTCCCCTCCTGGAACATGGCTCCTCTCCAACTCCTTCAGGTCTCTGTTCCAAGGTCGCCTTCTCAGAGAGGTCTTCCTGAACCTCCAAAAACAAACCCCTCTCCCACTCCCCAGGTTCACATTATCCACCTATCCTGCTTCATTTTTCTTTATGCCCATAATTACTCTTTTTCCCCTTCTCCTTGAAAAATACAAGCTCCACAAGGTAGAGATTTTTCCTTTTTCACTACTATAGCAGTGCAAGTGACATTATAGACATTATAGACAAATATTTATTGAAAGAATATATGAACTACTTCTCCATTCCCAATGGAATTTTTAAAAGACAGCTATGTTGTATTTATAATTTACAAGTTTTTAAAAAAATGTTTATTTATTTATTTATTTGACAGAGAGAGAGAGAGCTCACAAGCAGGCAGAGAGGCAGGCAGAGAGAGAGGGGGAAGCAGGTTCCCTGCTGAGCAGAGACCCCCCCCCCCAGCCCAATGTGGGCCTTGATCCCAGGACCCTGAGATCATGATCTGAGCTGAAGGCAGAGGCTTAACCCACTGAGCCACCTAGCCACCCTACAAATTCTTTTAGAAATAAGACTATAAAAACATCTTTATGGCAATGACAAAAGAAAAACATATAAAACAACATGTAAGATATTTTCAACTTTTATGATAAAATAAATGTAACGATAGAGGAAGACTGAGGAAAATCTGTGATTAGATTTTTACAAATAACAGAATATTTTTCACTGTCCAAAAACTTAATTTTAACTAGCACAGTGTTATTTCCAAAAGAATGCAATTATTTATATAATTATTTTTCTTCTAATATATAGAAGGAAAATTAAAAAAAATATATAAATGTATTTATATATGTATTTGTAATTGTATTTACACATATACATATTTTATTTTTTAAAAGATTTTATTTTTATTTATTTGACAGAGAGGGATGACAAGTAGGCAGAGAAGCAGGAAGACAGAGAGGGGGTAAGCAGGCTCCTCACTGAGCAGAGAGCCTGATGCAGGGCTCGATCTCAGGACCCTGAGATCATGACCTGAGCCAAAGGCAGAGGCTTAACCCACTGAGCCACCCAGGTGCTCCTGTATATATATATTTTAAATTTTCCTATATATACACACATATACACATGTGTAGATATATATGTATCTAGATATGTAGATACATATGCTTGTGTGGGTATCTGTGTATGTGTATCTCCATCCCATTTCAGAATTACAGCTTAATCATCCAGCAGTGGATCCTGTTCACTAGCTATGGCTTCTGGGCATCTGTGCCACCTACCCTTGGTAGACTGGTTTATTTGGATGAGTAGGGATTGGAACTAAACTTAGCTGAGGCTAATGAGTAGGAAGAAACATGGAAGATGATAGACCAGGAGGTAAATGGACTCTTCTTAAAACTGACATCACTAAAGTTCCATCCTACTAAAAGAGGACATCATGAGTATTTAATATTGTAAAAATCCTCCATACACATCTTGGACTTCCTCTCCAAATACCTGCAATTCACAGAAAAAAAAAGACATACCAGCTCCTCTCCTTTGTAACCCCCTCTTCATACTCTTCTCATCCTGTTCTCATTCCAACCAGCTACCTCGTTAACTCCTATGCACCTTCCAAAAAATGTTTTCAAATGTCTGCTTTCCAAGGAAAATGTATGGGCACCCAGTCTAATTCATTCAGATGCCCTCCTTCATACTCTTGAAGCGCTCTGAAGGCTTTATTCCAGACCTTCCCATGCTGACTGTGACCACTGGCTTTGAAATGTAGATTTCCTGAAGGAGTTAGAATCTAAGTGGCTTGAACCCAGCAGAATATCTGTCTGGCACGCAGGGGTTACTCAGTGAATTTGTTGAATGAACAAATGAGAGGGTCCAATCTTTCCAGGAGAAAACTTGTAAAAGGCAAGGCAAGGAAGCTAAATACTAGAAATGTTATTTTTGTAAGTTCTGTACCCATGGCAGGCCAAATACTCACACATAACATTTGAGCAGGTATACCAGTGAAGGGTAATCAAGAACATGCCCTTATTCAACAACATATTGAAACAATATCATGACCCACAAAGATAACTTCTAATGATAACTTCTAATACTACTCTTTTGGTATTTACACTTAATACAATTTGCTATTGAATGCAGTTAAGTAAATATAGCCTTTACGTATAGTTTTGCAAAATCACCTTGCCAGTAGTCCCCCAACATCAAAGATCCACATAGAAGATCCTGTTTTTAAATTTCAAATAGCTTTATCCTATTATTTTTTCATTTGCCTTTCTACTGAGTAAGTGAGCCACTTCAAATTGTTTTCAGAACCAGAATGGGAGTCAAAATCAAGCACTCAGCAACTTCAATATTAATTGCCAAACTTAACCTTAAACACCCGTTTACCTGAATACAAAGGTGATCTGGGACTTCTGACAACCTACTCATGTTTGCCTCAGTGAGAAGGGAGCACTTTTAGTGCAGGGCTCACCTGGTTTCCCCCGAGTCCATGACACGTGTACAAAATTAATGGTTTGCCTCCTTGATTATTTTCTCCAACATCCAGACACAGAGGCTGACCAACGCTTTTAATCTAAAGGAAAATTTTCAAGTTATAAAAAAAATGTAATCTATGTGGTTGATATATATTTTTTTCAATTCATTTCAGGAAGCAGTATTAATAAATAGTACATGTAAAATCTCAAAAGCCATAAGCCAGAAAGTATGTCAGAAATTTTCCCTGGACCACATAAATGTTTGTGGCAAAGGCATATATACCAAGCAAAAAGGAGCCAGAAAATACTCACATATCCAGATATAACAGGATTAAGGTCTGGCACATATGCTTCTGGATAAATAGTGTTCAGGTACCATGTAAAATTTTTACATTGAAGGCGGTGCTTTATTTCAAATCTCTTTGAAAGATCACCAAACGATTTCTGGAGAAAGATGAGAAGTAAAACGAATGCTTAATCAAAACAGCACTAGTAAAAGAGTTCAAATGTTTTGTATTTATATTTGGGCCAGAAAAAAATTCTGGCCAAAATGCAAGATGCACTTTAACTGAATTCACTGTTTATTCAGGCAATGAGTACGCCTCCCTGCTTGTTTCTTCCTTGAAAGAGAACCAAGTTACCAGCGCAGGTGGTGACATAATGCTATTTTATTCTTTCTTTGTGCTACCAAACCTCCCTCACTGGGGCAAAGATCTCTAGAGAAATGGTAGTGGGAGAATCCAAAATTGATTCTAATTTTACACCTAAGAATGATCTGTGAAGTGAGATGTGAGGAAGCAGGTATAAAGAAACAGTTCCTAGGGCACCTGGGTGGCTCAGTCAGCTAAGCATTACTCTTTTTTCTTTTTTTTTTTTTAAGATTTTATTTACTTATTTGACTGAGAGAGAGATAACAAATAGGCAGAGAGGCAGGCAGAGAGAGGGGGGAAGCAGGCTCCCCGTTGAGCAGAGAGCCCGATGCGGGGCTCGATCCCAGGGCTCTGGGATCATGACTCGAGCCGAAGGCAGAGGCTTCAACCCACTGAGCCACCCAGGCGCCCCATTTTCCTTTATTTTAAAAAGACTAAGAAAAAAAATTTTTTGGAGAACACTATTGAACTGAAAAGGTATTGGGTCCATAAGCAAAATTTTAAAGAAAAACTATATTTGGTACCTAAATATATGAAAAGTTTAAACACTCGAACTCACTATTTCAGTTAAGGTAAATATTTTCTCTGCCAACACCAATGTCTTGAATCCAGGGGTTTTAGCAAAAAGTATAAAACGCTAAAGGACTTCTGGCTAAGTTACGTATTTTATAACAAGATCCGTTTGCCCTGTGGTAAAAACAAGGGTTTACTGGTTTGCTTGCCGCTTTGTGGGTGACAAAGGAGTGTAAGCTGCAGTCAGCACACACCTGCCTGCTCAGCCACGTACCCGTGTGCAGTACACAGTCTGCCCAATTTGTACTGGTGGCCTCAGATAAAAAGATATCGAGCTAATCCACTAGTGCTCTGACTTTGCATCTTACTAACATGTTGCAGGGAGATACTGGAGACCAAAGAAAAGCTGAAAAGAGGTAACCAGACCTTTTATTGTAACAGTCAAAATGTTGACACCCTTTAATCTCAATATATACCCCCTGCAAATCAGCACTTTTCTTCCAAAGGGTTGGGGGCCATTCACTGAGGCACACTCCTAAAATGTCTAGTTCATTTACTACAACCAGTACTGAACCTGTTGGATCTCAGGGCCAGTGTATTAAGCATCACAGTTCTGCAGAGCTTTTATCCATGACAGGTCAGTAACAACAGTGCCATACATTTGTGAACACTTACTTCTTTATTTCATAACTACTCTGGGAGACATGCAAGTATGTCCTCTCTCAAGATGGAGAAGCAGAGAGAAGAAGGTTGGCTGAGCATACACCCCATGCTGGGCCAACCTCTCAACCACTGTATGAAGTGTCATCCCATTCTACGTCTCAAAGGGGCTTTGCCAGGGAACCCCTTCCAGCAAGCAGTGGAACTAGAACTTGGGGAAAAAAAAAAAAAAAGCACTTGGGGCACCTGGGTGGCTCAGTAGGTTAAGTGTCTGTCTTTGGCTCAGGTCATGATTGCGGGGGTCTGGGGATCAAGCACTGCATAGGGCTCCCTGCTCAGCAGGGAGTCTGCTTCTCCCTCTGCCTCTGCCTCTCCCCCCTGCTCATGATCATGCTCTCTCTCTGTCCTCTCTCTCTCAAATAAATAAATAAAATCTTAAAAAAATTTGTTTTTAAAAGCCTTGGTATTCCTGGTTTATTCTCCTGTCACATTCTGACACTCTCCCCATCCCCAGTTCAAAAAGCCACTTAGCACCTTTCTTTGGGTGTTAATCGCATCACCTCACACCAGTTACAAGGGGTTCCACTGAATCTTACTTTTCTTTGAGGAATATCCTGAGCCAAGGCAGTTACAAAAACTAAGTATCTTCCATATTTAAAGAGTAACATCAAGTGGAATGCCTAAATATTTAAAAAAGCCGTTTACTTCATTTTTTTCCTTAAAAAGAGAAAAAACTGGCATCAATAAGTTATATATTTTGAGTTTAAAAACCAACTTCAGAAATAATTTTTTACAATGTTTTATACTTGAACTAACTCAAGTCAGTAAAAGAATATGAGAACTTGGTGTGGATTTTTATCATGATTTAATTATTTAGCTCTGACTTACTTGTTTAACAATTTTTGCTGCATCTGTGTTTCTCCTATAAAATATTTCCTTGTATTCATCCATCCAGACTTCTGCAAGGCGAACTTGGTTGCGAGCAATCACCTGAGTGCCTTTTGGAAAGGTATGAGGGCTTTTGCTGCGAAAAACATGTCCAACAACAGAGCAAGGCATAATCTCCAACTGCCCACCACATTGCCATACCTGATAATTAATGATATTTGTTTAATTTACAGTATATTTACAAAACCAAGTGTTGCTTTTAAATTCATCTTTAAGGTACTAATAAAAACAAAATATAGAAAACAAATTTATTAAAACTTTACAAATAGTCTCTGTTCTTGGCCAGTTCAACTTAAATTCTTAAATATAAAAAAAACAATTTTATGAAATGGTACAAAAACTAAATACAATAAGGACATATTTTCAGAAAGTAATTTAACAAAATAGTGATTTTGAATCCTTCATAAAAACCAAATCCCACATTTCTTTTTTTGCAAACAATTATGCCAGCACTCTAATGTATACCAAAGACCAAAGCCTCTTTTGTATTTGACTTCTATCTTCTTATATAAGATACATGGCCAGTTCACTTGAAACAAAGATTCTCTCTTCTGTGGCAGGAACTAGCAGTCTCAGAGTAAGTGGACCCAGACTACATTTACCCCTTGCATGTTCAATTTTGTAATTAAGAAAATAATTCCAGATAATACCCAAGTACAATCTTGTGAAGTAGTTGGTCATTGTTTAAAAATACTCATACCTATTTAGAGATAGTGGGTTGAAAAACTTATCTGGGAAATTATTAAATCAATACCTACTCGCTTAAATACCTTGGCAATCAGTTCTGCCATAGTCACTAAGCAAAAAACCTAAAATGAAGACATGTTTAATAGTCTGTGCTAGTATTAGGGCAAGAGGTCATATTTTCTCTTTTTTTAAACAAATCAGAAAACTCAGTGGTATTTTTAATTCAACAAATTGTGCCTGAAATCTAACATGTGTTAGGGGATGGGAAGACTTAAGTGAATAAAGAAAGGCCCTTCCCTTGAGCAGCTCAAATTTGGCTAAGATCATCATTGCCATTCTGTGTTGGAGCCGGAGCTAAAACTTAAATCTTCTAGTCCTAGTTCAGTTCTTTTCCTACTACATTCCAGCCTAATAGATGAAAAATGAATGATAGAGTCATCAGAAAATGAACTCATGAAATCAAATAAGTATATTGGAGACCATCCAAAGTTTTTGTTTTGTTTCTCATATTAACTTTTAATACGCATAGGAAAAAAGGAGCTCATTTAATGCAAAGAGTTAATGTCTTTTTAAAATTATACATAAATGTTTTTCCATTCTGACTCCCTTGATAATCAACCCATTTCCTGAAGCACTAGATTGAATTATATTTATCTTGGCTGGAATTCAGTAGCTACAAGTGCATTAATTGGTGCTATTGGCTGGACACAGGCGTTTAACTGATTCCTCTTGTTACATTGGCAGCAACAAGTAAATATATTAAGTTACATGTTAAGAGAAATACCCTTATTCTAAAATTTCTAGCAATTAAATTTTAGAAAGCACAAAAAGTAAACACTGCACACTTCTATGACAATCCGCAGCAGCCGGTCAGGATGAAATGTGTATTTTATTGTTCAATATGTACTATATTTATAAACTTACTCTGAAAGACATTTCTATATTTTCACCTCCCCAGATTTCCATTTCTTCATCGTAAGTTCCAATATATTCAAAATATTCTTTTGATATGGAAAAAAGGCCTCCTGCAAAAGTGGGTGTTCTGAAAAATAATCCATTGTCAAACTTTGTTAAAAAAAAAAACTAAATAAGAAAAAAGAACTTACTTAAAGAGCTAACTGAAATAAATTCCCCCCAAAATTAAAGAGAGATCACAATTTCAAAGGTTTTACATAGATTAATAAAAACAAAAAATGCTATCTTCAGAGTCAAGTTTTGCAGGGGCACAGGGAAGTAGTTTAAATATCCTCTCCCAGCAGAATAAAATTATGAAGTGTCTTCTAACCAAGCCTTAAGATTCTGAAGTAATGATTATGAGGAAGACGAAAGACCTCACATACTTCTAATTCCGACTTGGTAATATCATGTGTAAGTAAGTATATATATATATACATAAATGACTTTTTTTATTCCCTACATAGAATGTGTGTGTTCTTTATTTTGTTAGTGTGAATGACCTTGGAGGCAAAAACTGTAAAAAGCAAAGAGTGAATACGTATTTAAATAACTGAACTGCATATACAAATTTGAGAGCAATCATCTTACTTAATTGGGTAGGTTTCATCTTTCCTTCTTTGCTTCTCATGATCAGGAAGTGATTCCCAGCCAAATGAAAGACTCCAATCAAAGTTTCCACGGTTGTGATTACTTCCATAAGGAGAAGGTTTGTTGAACTCAAACGTGTTTAGATCTATGGATGCAATATCCGGACTCACCACAGCCGTGTAGTTCTCAGCGATTCTGGCCAACAAAGGTTCTAACCAGCCATAGAAACACTCACCTGGAAGGAACACAATTCTAATCAAGCCAATGAAAACACTGAGGGTTTTCTATTTTGTTTTTTGAAGACAGTATAGAGAAACGAATAATAGTCAATTGTATTTTGAGCATTGAACATTGAGATTTCTTTTTTCTTTTTCTTTTTTTCTTTTTTAGATTTTTTATTTATTTGACAGAGAGAGATCACAAGTAGGCAGAGAGGCAGGCAGAGAGAAAGGGGGAAGCAGGCTCCCTGATGAGCAGAGATCCCGATGCGGGGCTCGATCCTGGGACCCTGAGACCATGATCTAAAAGGAAGGCTGAGGCTTAACCCACTGAGCCACCCAGGCACCCCGAGGAGATTTCTTAAAGGTTTCTGTGATGAGATGAGGGTAGAGTGAAAAAGGTAAAGCAAAATTCAGCATAGTTAGGAAAGTTTATTTATAGGAGATGATTTTTTTTTTTTTTTTTTAATCTTAGTGAGGAGGTAAAATGACACTGGAGTATTTAAGTTTCAGATCTGTGTTTCCCTCCGAAATGGGCTATGAGTCAAAAGTAACTATTTGGTGATTCACGCCACCTAACCCCGTAAGTGTTCTGATTTTCTTAAACTTGTCTCCCTAAGTAAGGTATAGTAATCAAAATCCTCATTTCTCTAACTGAGCCTTAGGAGAAAATAAGTCAAGGAGTCAAAATTATTTTGATTTTAGCAGTTGGAGAAGGACCATTCAAACCTGCCCCAGCCCTAATGGAAAGTGGGGGCAAAAGAATGCTATAAAAAAGTCTGGGCCCTGGTCGTGGGCCAGGCTCACTTAACACACAGAGTTCAGGAAAGTCAGTCCTACCTGGGTCTCCCCATTGGGAGAATTTGGCAGTTATTAGGAGGACCACTTGGTATCAAGGAGATACATCAGATCCATTTGCCTGAGAGGAAGAATGCCCAGTCTGACAGAATTGTAATTTTGGACCATAAGAGGCAATATTGGAGAATGAACCATTTCCTTTTTAAAACACCTCTCTTGGATCACCTTCAGACCTCTCTGTTCATTTAAGAGCCAGGTATTAAGAGAGTACTGGATTTGAGAGCTCTAAAGAGACTCAGCAAATCCAAAAGCCCCCTCTGTAAAAACTAGCATATAACAAAACCATTTGCCAGGTCAAACATAATCGAAGGGCTAGCCAACTCAATTCAAAACTAAATACTCATACAAAGAGCATAACCCACTAAAGTTACAGCTGGGGGACTAACTGACATTTTAGTAATTCCTAACATGCACTTTAAATATGGAATCTAAAAATGCTATATGCTATATATTTTATTTAAAATCATTGACACTGGAGAACAAAACCATTAAAAATAAAAGGGAAAGAAACAGTAGCAATAAATAAAAACTGATCATATTCATTAAAAAATGCCAGAAGAAGTTGGAAGGGGGTACCCCTAATATAGCACAAGAGAAGTGTGCAAATCTTTGAAAAAAGAACTAAAATACAGAAATTGAAAGTATCAGGACCAGAACAAAGTTTAAAGATAGAATTCGTTGCACTTAAAACTTTCATTCATTTTAAACTGTAAGAATCAAGAATAATAAGGAAAAACATTTTTTTTTTCTGACAGACTGTGCATCTGAAAAAAATGCCTAGGCAAGGATAACTTGCCCGGGAAGTTGGTCACTGAAGGATACTGGAGTTGAGGAGCCCAAAACACAGAGGCGGTAAGAACTCCATGCTAAGTTAAAGGAGGTCCCTACCCAGAGCTGTAATCTGCTTCAGACATCATTGCTATAATCACCAGTTGAAAACGATGTTAAAGAAAATACAATTAGTCATCTAAAGAAAAGTCTTCCTCACTTTTTAAACTATAAGGAAGCAGAGGGAAAATGTTACAACTATGTCTATACATACATACTTACAGTGAGCATCTAAAAATGTGAGCGTTTCAGCTGTTGCAACTGTTGCTCCTAGCAACCTTGCAGTGATCAGACCTTTTCTCTCTCTTTGTCTGACTATTTTTACTATTGAAAATTGTTTTATATATTCTTCTAGTTTATCATGTAAGTACTCTGTAAGAAAAAAATCAGGATTAATTCTTCCTAAGTTTATATTCATATATAACATATGAAAGCTAATAAACCACAGAGCAATGATATCTCTACATTCATCATCTCAACAGTTGCACACATTCTTCCATTAAGATGAAAATTGTATCTTTAGCTCTTTAATGAAAAAATAGCCATATACACAAATCTTAACTTCTGAACTACTATAACACAAAATGTTATAACACAGACTTATCCTGTACATGCAAAATCAATAAATATATTTGGGGGAAAGCAAAGACTTTAAATGGAGTAGACCCCAGGAGTTAAAAAGACCCCAGTTCATTTAGGGGTCTAAGAACATCAGTTAAGGGAGTGAGGGAAACTGAATTTGGCCAAAAACATTTGACACTTTTTAAAACTGGGATTTAAATCTGGAAATTTCAAGAAAAATGACAAGTATCAAAGGATTCTCTGATACTTAGTGATCAAAATAATTTAAAACCAAAACATTAAGGAAAATGGCAAATAGGAAAGTCCAAGGTTATAACAGTTGGAAATATTTTTTACAAAGAGTCAGCATAAAATTTTTTGAAAGCTCTGGAGTCCCCTGACACAAAATCTTTTTTTCCAGTAAAAATATGACAGAAGAAATGAGCATGTAAGTGAAGAATGAAGCTAAAACAAGCTAAATCTTATTAATGGGTATATAATTTAAGATATTCAACATTCCAATTTGGATAAGAGACATGAGAAGCAAGAGTTAAAACAGTAAGTAAAAGAAAACACATCAATCATGTTAGTCAGGTGTTGCTCATATCTTGAAACAACTTCATAAGTCTGCTTTTTCACCATTAAATTCATGATTCTTTGTTGAGTATATAATATAGTTCCTCAGGTAGCCTTCTTAGGCCCATACTGTAGCCTCAGAAAGATCTTGGAAAGCTGAGAACATCAATCAATGTCCTAGGGTAGGGGCACCTGGGTGGCTCAGTCTTTAACCATCTGCCTTCGGCTCAAGTCATGATCCCAGGGTCCTGAGATGGAGCCCGCATTGGGCTCCCTGCTCAGCGGGAACTGGCTTCTCTCTCTCCTACTCCCCCTGCTTGTGTTCCCTCTCTCCCTGTGTGTCTCTCTGTCAAATAAATACATTTTTAAAAAATTTTTAAAAAATGTCCTAGGGTAGATGCTTGCTTCTGCCAGATTTCAGAAGCATAAATGACAGATGACTTTATCTGTGATTATGTATGTTTTCTTCCTATTCAGTGGTACAGATAAATGAGTTGCTTATTCAAAGCCTAAACATTCATAAAGGAGGTGAGAGTCCAGGAACAACTTCTGTAGAAAATAAGTCTAAACACGGTTGCCACAGAGTAAGAGACTAAATTTTAACCATCTTCTAAGTACCTCAGAATTAATTCTCTGAAAGACAAGCAGGATTGTAATTTGTCTTAAAATATAAATCATGGATTTTCCTGTTTTAACCATAGACTTGACTTGTAAAATAGAAACTTATATAAAAACATTTCAAAGGCCTTAATGGAGATTGATTTTTTTTTAATGGAGTCACTACAGATTTCTTTAGTGAACTGTCCCAGTTTGATTTGTTAAGGCATTTTTTATTTACCCACAACTTCTGGACTTCCTATAAATTTTTACCTGCTCCTTAAATTTAATCCCCGTCCATAACCATCTTTTTGTGAGGTTAAGAGTGCAAAGCTGTGAAATCAGATCTCCTGGGTTTATCTATTTATAGCACCCATTACTTTTAGCTGCATGACTTTAGGTAAGTTATTTTATTTTACCTATACCTCAGTTTATCTCTAAGATGGGGATAATAACACCCTCACCAGGGATTGCTGGGAAGATAAAATGAAAGACTGCTATACAAATAAAGCATTTAAGACAGGGCTTACCACATGGTCTCTGCTCTGAAAATGCTGATTATTTTTTGTTTTACTATGGTTGGGACTTACCTATCTCTGTCACTTGATTATCCACATATTTTTGCTGCTTTTCCCTAAACCAACTGAAATCAGGGATTATCGTTTCTACCTCACACACTTCTTTAGACTAGGGACACATTTTCCACAGTGGGTACTCATCATTAGACCATTTATTCAATAAGACAAATTAATTACATTAGTATGCAAAGATATCCCTCATCAAGAAAACGGTTGCAAATTTATTATTAATTATAATAAAGAATTATAAAAAATATCCAGGCCCTTTGACTATGTAGTCTAACTTACCTAAAGACACAATTCAAATAGAGGAAAATAACATGAGCACAAGGATATTCATTTTACAGTATGATATATACTAACACTGTGGAGCAAGTAAAGGTGAATGGTTAAGAGAAATGCATCTAATCCATCATGGTCATCAAAAATAAAGTTCTGAAAGTGAACGAAATGGGCTAATAAGAATATTACATGAAAATGTCAGATTTCAAAATTGATTTCTTACATGGATATAATTAGATAAACATACGTTTATTTAGGCAGTGATTAAGAGAAATAGAAAAATTAAAATGAAATAGGAAGATTATGACTAGATATCACTTTTCTTTTTTTTTAATAATTTTATTTATTTGAGAGAGAGTGCATGCAAGAGAGAGCATGGGCCAGGAAAGGGACAGAAGGAGAAGCACGCTCCCCCTCAGGGCTGGATCCCAGGACCTTGGAATCGTGACCTGACCAAAGGCAGATGCTTAACTAACTGAGGCATCTAAAGTCCACACCTTTCTTTCTGATTTCTTTAAGTCTACTAATTTTATTTTATAATTAAATTTATAAATTAAATTTATATTTTTATAAAAAATATAAATTAAATTCATAATTAAATAACAGAAGTTGCTTTCGACTAAAGGCTTACTACAAGTAGCCTTATTGTGGCCCTAATTTCTCACTTCTTGAAAAATCAAACAAAATAAAAATCATTGGAGAAGAAAGCTCACAAAACCAAAGCAGGAATTTTTTAATTTTTTTTTTTTAATGACAAAACATATCAGAGACGTTCAGAACTTTAATCTCTTAAAACTCTATGAACTGCAGACCAAGTAGAAAGAATTGGAACAAATTCAGAACACCGTAGGCAGTAAAGAAATTCGTTGATTACAATTAAGTGGTGATATAACCTGGGTAAAAGGACTAGAATTCAAGTCAGAGATATGTATGTAGTGTTATCCATAAAGAGGAGACTTAAATTAAAAAACTTGCCCATTTGGTGACTAGGTTTCACATCCAGGTCAACAATCTCTGGTGATAAGCAATTTTAGTCCACCTAGACACTAATGTAACTTCAAAACATAATCTCAGTTCATTCATGTTATTTTGAAATTATAGAAATGTTGATTGAGGATTGTATGAAGAAGTAATTAAATAAATCAAGTTAATAATCTTACACTCTATTCACTTATTATCATTTCATAAGTCTGGATAAATCTTGTTATTGGTGACATGTCACTTAATAAGCAGTAACTTTTTCTTTTTTCATAGTACATAAAATAATGGTTTCTCTTAAAATAGACGTTGCTTTGGATTTGATGAAAGAGTATTACTATTCCCGTTTTATAGATGAGGAAATAGCTAGTTAGAATTGGAGTTGGAATTTGACCTTCAAGAATTTGGATCCAAACCCAGCTCATTCAGGAATAAATTTTGTGACCATTGAAATAATCTGTATCTGATTGGTATTTAAAATACTTGTAATGTTTGAAAATTTAGCAACTTAGGGTATTTGATTAGCTTTGTGATTCCAATTGAAAATGTATAATTTAGTAACTGACAATTGACTTATAATTTTAAGTATAAATGCATTAAAGAATTTAGCTAACTTTGTAAACAATATTGGAATATTTAGCAGCCAAAATAAAACAGAATGTAGTGACTCTTTAATGATTTTTATCTACTCATTTATATTACTAATTAATGTATTATTTATATTAACTCATCTTATCTTCAAAACAACCCCAGGACTTACGCATTACTTATGTATTTCATCACTCCTAAGCTGAGCAATTGGATACTTCTTATAGTCAATGGCATCTTTGCTTAATTGGCTGTGTTTTTTATTCAAGTGGTAAACAAACTAATGATGTATTATACGATAAATTTGATGAAATATGGCATTTTCCCCATTTTAAAGAAAAAGAAACTAAGGCATAGAGGGATTAAGTAATTTGCCCAAATTACAAAGCTGATTAGGACCAGAGCTGGGATTCAAGCCAAGGCGGCCTGAGTCAAGGCTCAAGTTTGTGTTCTTAACCACTACGCCTTACAATAGAAGTCTTACACTGAGGACTACAAAGTTATGGATCATGGTACTTCATACATTTCTGAACTCTAAAATATTTAAATATGGACACCCTTAGATTCTACTTTCATCCATCATACCTACCATTCAGGGTATTATACTCAAGTTCTGAGGTGGCATACAGAGAGTACAATATAATAAAATAAGACTTTGGAAAGCATCACATGGATTTACTTGGGAAACAATCTAATTTGCATGTGCTTTCTTACCATCTACACTAGCATCATCCACCAAAATGATTTCCTTCAGCAGTATGGCAGGGGAAGAATAAAGCACACTGTGGACAGTTCTAAGCAGCGTGGACCAGGCTTCATTATGAAAAACTATTATGACACTGGTGGTAGGCAGGGGAGGACAGCGCTTAAATTTTTGTTCAATACATCTAGAAGAAGTCAAAGAAGTAGAAAAACAATTATGAATTTTATTACTTTATTTCACAGCTATGTCATTACTAATATCATCATTATTTAGCCTTTATCAGCATAGAAACAATAGTGGATAAATTTTTTCTATGTAAGTTCATCTTAATGTTATGTGAATATAAATAGATCACAACAAATTTTTCTACACAGAGATCATATCCACTGATACAGACAACATGTCAAAAATTAAAATATGCTATTGTAAGTTTTCTCAACAAGATAATTCTAAAACACAAATAGTATTTTATAAAAAAGTAAAATAACCTACAAGTGAGACAACCTGTAAAAATAGCAAATACTTGTAATTGCTCAAATAAAAACTAAGTTTTTCTCCTTCATTGTAGAAATCATTTTTCTCATTACTTGCAATTTTTTAAACAGTGCAACTTTATTAAATGAATATATATCTTTGCAGAGATTCTTGTTTTCCTAAGTATGTAATAATTTTCAAGTTTTTAAAATCAATTTAATCTATTTTTTTCCCAAAAGGGGAAAAAAATGGCTTCCCATATAATCTATGTTCATGATTCAGCAAGACTTATTAAATTGGTACCATATGCCATGCTGTGTTAAAGATTTTGCTCCAATAATCTGATCGATCCATAGTTTACTTAAGACCTGGCATCTTAAAATACTAAACTTAAGAATTTTAAATAAAAATCCCAAGTCCATGTTAAAAATCCTGTGATCCTGTTGTCTTATGAAACATTGATAGGCACAAGGAGAGCAATCATGAATAGTTTTTGACTGATTAATGGTATTACCCCCATTAGTTAAACACATTAGTTACAAACTGATCTTGAATTCATTTTTATAATAACCTCTTCCTCAAAGAAAATAATCTTCATATGAAGCCACTAGGTGTGGATGGCTCTGTATGGTCTCCAGCCTTTGAGACTGAAGCTGACCACAGTCCCTCACCTAGAGTTGGAAGTGAGATCAAAAGATTTAACATACAGCAGAGGGCTTCAGACCACTATAAAACCAAACAAAGTGACCCTGGGACACAAAAGATGTGTGGTCTATGGTAAAGATAAATAAAATAACTATCTTTAAGTTCACTTAAAAATCATAAATGGTTGTACAATTTTAGACAACAGAGTATAAAATCCTCCCGCACAGTCAAAAGGTACAACAAATAGAGTGTGTGAACAATCCAACGGTGCTGTTGAAGCCCAAAGATAAGGACGTAAATCATTCACTTATGGAGATAGGAGCCTAACGCACTTCAAATGCTCTGTGAGGGTCAATGGAGAAACCAGAACTCCCATTATGATACCAGAGGCCTGGGAAAACCACCCTGAGAGAGATATCCTATAAACTCTCATGAATCACTCTCCCAGCCATACCTCAATATGAATGTGTTTCAGATCCTTTTCTGAGAAGAGGTCTTTAAGGTGGAATATTTGTAGTGATAAAAAAAGGAGTTAGATTGAAGATAAAGTTATTAACAGAGTATGTCAACACTGCTGAGTAAGAAAAGGAGAGGAAGGTTGTAAGTGAAAGTGATTTTGCTCTCTCATGCTTTCATGATTTCAAATAAATATGCATAGTCAGAAGCAAATAACCACATTCATCCTCACTGACAGATGAAAGCAAATGACTTATTTTAGATTGCATTTTGGATAAACTCAATTAGAAATAAAGTCCAAACACAAACTACCTACTCATAATTACTCTTGACTCACAATTACACAGAAACAAATGACTAAATATAAGCTTGTATTTTTAGGACATAAAGGTTTACAAACCAATATAAAGTAAAAGTAAAAATTATTAAAAACTCCATGCTATTTTCCTTAAAAAAAAAAAAACAAACCCTTATGACTTAATTGTCTTATAAGCATTTTGGGAAGGGAGTTTCGGGATTAAAAAAGAAATTCCCCTATATTTACTTGTCATATGACTAATTAATATACTAATTGAGAATTACAAAAAGGCTTTGAAATTTTAAATATAAAACCTCACAAAAATTCACATAAAATATGATCACTTTACTCTTACAAGGCTTCCCCTCTGTTTAAGCTAGGATTTATCTGCTTAACTGATAACTACTAATATCAAGTAAAGGTGTCATGTTATACCATTAATGCAAGTGATAACAAAATTTCACAGTATGATTTCATAAACCCCAATTACTCCAAAACAATAAAAAAAAGCATGTTAAACTTATGCTTTAGACATTTTTTCACATGTCATTTAAAGTAGTGAAATCAAGTAACTTGCCAAACTGACTGCATATTCCCAGTCAAACCATTTGGAAAATTTGGGATATAGATGGGTGCTTAAATTATCAATTACAAGAACATCTGCCTTGGGGAGACCTTGGATCTATACTTTTAATGAGCATGGAAAAGAGCAGCAATTCTTCAGAAAATGTGTTCCTTACTCATATAGGTTAAATTTAAAGTAAGAAAGTTTTAAATCTTCACCAATTCTTCACAGTTTTAGGTATCCAGTTTCTACCCAAAAAAGGTTGTTTTGAGTGCTTAGTTGTTTTTCACTTAAAATGATTTCATTAATTAATATTATCGTAGCTCCTCATGCTTTATCGGAGGGGGGGAAAACTTATCTTGAGCTGACATTGTCACATCAAAGAATAAAAATTGTGCTCCTTAATTTGTGATGTGGATTGCTTTTCATTAAGACCTCTCCCCAAATCAGTCAAATGCAATACTGCATTTTAACTATTAACATAAGAAAGAAACTATTCTGTGCCTTGTTATAAAGGCAGAATATTTTATAGTTATTCATTGTTTCTTCACACATTGATTTAAAAATGATGAGCAACTTAACTTTGAATGACACAGGTTAGAATAGAGAGACAGAAGTATAAAGTACACAACTTCAATATTGAGGTATTCATAGTGAGAATGAGAGGGTCTCTCACCAGGTATTCATGATCATAAATCTAGAAAATATGAGTGAAGTCGTAGACTTAAGTCTATAAAAGTTCTTTTCTTCAGGTTCACTTCCAAATATAATTCTACCATAAGCAGAAAGCAAATATGCGGGCATCACTTGAAGTTTGTCTACCTTACACTTTCAACAAATCAACAGGTGATTTGAAAGTGGTAGAATTTATCTTAGCCTATTTGAATTCAAATAGAGCATTTGAACACTACGTCAAACATAAGTAAGGAGAGCACAGTAGGATCTGGACGGAAACCATAGTAAAAATACTGTGTACTTGAGATAACATGGAAGTAGTGTTGGCCTCTCAGAAGCTAAAGGGAGACAATTCTATACAAAAGATACTCAAAAAAACACTAGAGGAAAAAAAATCATAATTGCGCAATTTAACAATATTGTTCCTTAAAAGAAAGGTTACAAAATGTTACACGGCATTGTGAAATACAATTACAATATTGAAAGTAGCCACAAAGTCTGTGACTTACTTCATATAATATTCTTATCTAATAGCTCCAAAGTCTTGGCATTTTTTTAAACATTTCTATTTATTTCATAACAATACACAGAGGAACAGAAACAGCTCCTCTGCCTCCCACATTTCCTGTAAAATTGCCTCCTATTCCCTACTAAATAGATTAGAAAAGTAAAGCATTTAAGAATAGAGGATTTCTATGCGGCTCTACAGAAATCAGATCTAAAATTTAGTTTTCCAGTTTGTAAGGTAACAAATTCCCACATCTACAGTGCCTCATCGAGCATAGGTATGGACAACCTCAATAATAAGGAAAAGCATAATTAGACAAATTAAACAGCAATTGCTGATATTTTGCCTCGGCGTGGCTGAAAAACAAGCACATTCCTTAGTTAATCCCCCTCCCCTGAAACCACAATTTTAAACAGTAAACAAAAAATATTCTTCAACATACTCAGGAGGTCGAGTGTCTGGTCCAAGATCTCGGTGTAGAGAAATCCTGTCACTTGCAAAAGCATTAAAACAGTGTTTTACTTCTCCACGTTCTTTTTCCTTCTGTTCTTCAACACTTAAATTGGTTGTCTTGAACGCTTTACCAGAAGCACCAGGTGCATTGGAATCCTGAGGTGGGCGGTCAAGAACCGGTTTCAATTCTGCTGCTGTGTAATATCCTTGCAAACAGGGTCTCTCACCAGCATCCATGTTCTGCCTGACAGGTGCTCCTATTTGCATTTTTGGCATTGCATCTTTAATATTGTTTACAGCTTCTAACATTAAATCAAACACCTTGTTTTTGTTTATATTTCTTTCCATCCTTGATTCCTCTTTGGAATATTGAACACTTACTTCTCTTTGCATTAAAATCAAAAATATTATAAAGAAAAAAATTACTGCACCAAGCTTCCAGAATTTTTTATGGTAATGTCTTTTAAGATGGAATTTTACTAGTCGTTTTACGTGAGCCATTCTGACATTAAAAGTTTGCCACTTGACAAGTAACAGTTATAGTTTCTTCTGTAACTTATATTTTTTATCATAGATTTGCTGGCAAGAAGATTTCATTAAAGGGTAATACCTATAAACAGAAATGATAAACGGCATTAGCAGCTATTCATTCCTATAGGCATAGCTCAATTCATTCATTCAACCAACAACTAAACATAAGCTATAAACAATGTATTCTTACGGTTAACAAAAATACAAAGATATCTTGCCCTCAAGAAAATTACATTTTTGGAAGAACACATTGCTATAATTAGCTATAATCTACTGACTTTATAAAATATTAGGGATTTCTCTCCAGTTTAAAAAAAAAAAACAAACCTTGTAAACTGTGGTTAATATCTATTATGTGATAGGCACACAATTATTTTTATAAACAAATTTAGAGTATTTTTAAAAAGGTATCTTAACTCAATGACCAAGGGGCCAAAGGACTTCACTGAATTGATTATAAAGAAAGCGGGAAATCCATAAGAAAGCAAAAGTATATAGGTAGTGTTAGGCATACATCTAAAATAGTGGCTCTTATTTTATGGAATTTGCCCTCAACTTATGAACCTCTACTCCAAATGAATCAGTTAAGATTACAAAGCAACTTCAAAAACTCATAAACAGGCATGTTCTCAAATTTGTTCACCTGATAATACTTGTGAATCCTGACAGAACCAATAAAGACTAGAAAATTAAAAGCATCTATCTCATTGTTATTCCACAGCTATTTTCAACAGCTCACAAAAATACAAAATCTAACAGCAAAAAGAAGATGGCATTAAGCTATACTTGAAATGACTCTAAAGAGGCAACAGAGATTTGCCTTATTTTGAGTTACAAAAGCAGTATCTGGTTTAATAAAATACTGCTTGCAGTTGACCCTAAGAACAGAGCAACATGTTTATTAAACTCTAATATGGGCCACCAGAAATGAAAGAAAGAAAAAGAAAAAAGAGAACATTGATGACAGCCTGAGTCACAGATAAAGCTGATTTTCTTTACAATGATCTTTAAAAAAAAGGTATATGGAAGGGTTTCAGTATATAATTACATACTATGCACCATTACACTCAATCAAATTTGCAGGGCAAAGGGGAAGGAAAACGACTTTTTCCCTAAATCCTAAATATATTTTAGGTATTTTAAGTCAAATTTAATTTAAATAAGTGAAAACTACATTTGACACTTCATTCAATTTCCACAGATATTGCTAAATTAAAATTAAAAAGCCAATTTTTATGATGGATTCTCTGGCCTTTAGTAAGACATTTTAAGCTAAGTAAATAAAATAGGCAGAACTTAGTTCTATACACTGCTTCTATTTGGAAACATACATGTATGTATGTATGTATGTATAGAATAGATATTTTGGCTTCAAAAGATAATTATAATGTATATTGCTCATAAAAATGAGATTTTAACATTTCTGAGTTTCTGTTGCTTTAGGAGACTCATGTAAGAATTAAAATGACCTGGTAAGCTTTTTACATTACTTGAAGACATAATATAAATCGTTTCAGAACCACACAATTGTTGCTGTGTAATTTCTTATGTAGCAAATGTTGTGCTAGGCTCTGGCTACCAAATTAAAGATAGTTCTTACTCTCAAGGAGCAGAGATTAGTATGAAATATGGCATGTCAACATGCAACCACAAAACAGTGTGACATGTGCTAAGATGGAAGACTATGAAAGCAATATGGGAGGTAAACAGAAATGTTAGGGAATTTTTGCCAAACATAACACTGGTGAGCAGTATCCTAAAAGATAAGCAATTTTTAGGCAGAAGGACAAGAGAGAAGAGAGAGAGTGACTGAGGCAAAGACATAAAAAGCAAGACAAGACATGGGCAGTTCAAGTGGAAGACACAGAGAGGAAATAGCAGGAGGGGACACTGGGACGTCACTTAAAAACCAGCACACAAAGTGAGACTGGAATCCACCAATTTTATTCTGAGTGGAAGGAAATGGATGATTTTAAGGAAGACTCATAACCATATTTATGTTTTAGATAAGTCAGTTTCCTCAGCACTGGTAAAGGCGATGAATACCAAAGAAATGAGGAAGGTAGAAAGGATGGAGAGGACTAATCAGGAGCCCAGGAAGTAGAATCAAATAGAAGTTGGTGAGAGAAAGCAAAGAATGGAAGGTGGATGGCTGACGTGATGACATTAACAGAGGCAGAGAATACAGGAAGAAGGGTAGACTTGGGGGTGGGAATTCGATAATCGGTTCTGTTTGGGAGACAAATATGAGATGCTGATAGGCATTCCAAGGTGAGTTCTCATGAGCAAAAAGATATACAGGACTGAAAATCAGAGAAAAACTCTGTGCTAGAGATGAAAATGTGGGAGTCAGTCTTGGGGTATAGAAGAGTTCACCTACAGTATATACAGTAAAGAGGCCAGAGAAATAGCTACATTTAAGGGGTAGGTGGGAGAAGGATAAACTGGAAAGAAAGAGCAAGGGGATTATAAAAACAAAATAGAGGACAGTCAAGGGAAAACAGGTTAATAGATAAAGTATCCATGTCAAGTGGATATAGACTCTACAACTTGCAGTTAACCCTTTAGAGATGTTAATTCTTTTGACAGTTGGTTCATCCTTAAAAGTAAACTGCACTAGACCTAGTCCAATGGGCTTTAGTGCAACACCAGGAATGAACATTGGCAGAGAATCCACTAGACTTGTTACAGTCTTGCCTCCAAGATCTAGGGCTTAGGACCTAGGGTGCATTCAGACTAATGGGGCAACAACCTGTTCTAAGAGATTCTAGGAAGATAAGAACAGGCAAAAGTTGAAGCTTCATAGGATAATTGTCACCTATGAATTACTACGTGATCACCTTTAAACACAGTTTGATAAATAGATATAAATCAGCCTATGTTCACCCTCCCTCCTATCCCTGAGTCAATGCCAAAAATCCCCTTCTGCAGTGCTGCTAGTGATGCTAGATCTCCTGAGCAACCAGATGTAAACTAGATCAGGAATTAGACAAGGAATGAGCTGTTCTCCCTAGGATGTTTCAACAACACATAAACCAGGAAAGGGTGCAGAGAAAGTATAGAGTAAAGGGAGATGACAGAACTATATACTTCTGTAACAGTGATGGTTTTCCCAAAACATATGGCAGAAATCGTATTCGTGGGTAGGGTGGGGAATGAGAAAGAAGGATGGAGTTAATGAGGTAGTTGGAAGAAAGTTCTTTTTTAGGAATAAATTATAAACTAGAGAAGTTCTTTACCAATAGGGCAAATAATCCTATCATTGTGTGTGTTTGTCTATCTAAGGAAGTCACTCAATTAGTCTTATTTAGGATGCATCCAATGAGGGAGTCAAGAAAAGCTCATGAAGGACACAAACAGTGTCTCCCTTTTTCATGGTTGTTTCTCTGGTACTTACCAGAATGTTGGTGACACAGTGAATACCCAGTATAGGTTTGACTAGAAAAGGAAGAAGGAGGACCAGGTTCATATATTATTAGAAATAATAAAACAATAACTCATTTTTGTTAAATGTTGATTAGGTCCCTGATACCTTAACATTACACAGGTTCTCACTTAGTCCTCCAACAATCTTGTGAAGTCATTCCCATTTTACTGACAAACGCGAAGAGTCAAACAGATTAAGGGGCCTGGCCAATGCCATTCTTTTAAGTGGAACGGTAGCATTCTCCCAGCTGTGTTCAAATTTGATCTAAATTACTAAGCTTTTAACTGAAGTTATCTGAAATAAGACCTTTAAGGGTCAAAAATTGGTACTCTAGGGACTCCTAGGTGGCTCAGTCAGTGAGGGAGCTGACTTTTGATTTCGGCTCAGGTTGTGATCTTGGGGTCTTGGGATAGAGGCCTGAGTCAGGCTCTGCACTCAGTGGGAAGCATGCTTGAGGATTCTCTCTCCCCCTCTCTCTCTGCCCCAACCCTGCTCACATGCTCTCTCTCTAAAATAAATAAATCTCAAAAAATTTTTGATACTCTAAATGTAAGGACATAAGGGAAAAACCTAAGGAAAGAACTACAAAGAGCTTCATATCAGGTAAGGTTTTCTGGACAAATGAGTTAAAAAGGGGGGGGGAGGACTGTTTCCAGAGCATATTTTTAGAAATAAAGATTCAGGATGAGACTGTGGATTTTAACAATGGAGGATTCACAGATTGAGACCTTTGAGTAGCAAGAGTCTACTAAAGTTGGAACAGGATGCTTTCCTCTTTTCAGATTATTTCAGAAGGGAAAAGTCTACTTTTGTCAGTTGCTGATCACTTGAGGATTCCAACATAAATCTCCCAGGAATTTTTATATGACTTTTTTGCCCTTTGTTGCTAATGTGTACTATTAGGCTTCCATTAATGAAAATTATACTCCACATCAAGCATCTCTATCAGTGGTCTTCAACTCTGAGTACACAGTAGCAGAAAGCTCTTCAAAAAGAGTGTCTCAGACTTCCCCTCTAGAGAGTTTGATTTAATTGTTCGAGGGGCAGGGCATAGGGCCTGTTTTTGTTGTTATTTTAGGCTCTCTAGATAATTCTAAAGGGCAGCAGGTGCTAAGAATCACTGGTCTAGGTCAGAAGACTTTGGGCAAATCAAACTAGCACCTGAAAAGAAAAGGTCTACATCTATCCTAAGGCAACCACACTATTAATTTCTAATATTCCAAGGACAGGTTTTTCAAAATAGATCCTTGATATAAAATGAGCAAGAGTGGGGTGCCTGGGTGGCTCAGTTGGTTAAGTGACTGCTTTCAGCTCAGGTCAAGATCCTGGAGTCCTGGGATGGAGTCACAAATTGGGCTCCCTGTTCAGCAGGGAGTCTCCTTCTCCCTCTGATCCTCTCCCTTTTCATGCTCTCTCATTTTCTCTCTCTCTTAAGTAAATAAATAAAATCTTTTTTAAAAAATAAAAAAATAAAATGAGCAAAAGTTATTTTGACTTACAGAGATTAGATGAAACCCAAAGCACGAATAACCCCAAGTTTCCTGAAAAGGCTTATTAGAGATTAATGCTGATATAAATGAGGCACTGGGGTTTTACTGTAAATTATGGTGCTGTAAAATCATTTTTAAAATATTTTGTTCCCATCAGACTCTGAACAATAAAACACATAATACAACACAATAAACGAATGAATTAAAGAAAACCAGGATTCTTAATTCCCATTCCTGGGAATAACATCATGTTCCTAGACCTCACTACTTAGCAAATTTGAAGACCTTTGTGAAAACAGCCAGTGAAACAAAACAAATTCTCCTAGAATCAACTTCCAATTAAACTCAGAAGTTTCAGAGATGAAAAAACAAAAATCAGCACAACAGCAATTTCAGGATATAGAAATGATTAGCAGGTGAAGGTCTTGTTCTTATTGTACGTTCTAAACCTTTAAATACAGCTATCTAAAATGGTCATTTGCTAATTCTAAAATATCAGATTCACAGGAGATAGGAATACCATGAAATCATTTTTTAAAACTAGAAAAAAATTAATTTAAGTTCAAAGACCTTCTAAATTTCAAAGTATAAATGTCTAAAATTAGAAAAAAAATTCCGAGGCCTCTGGTCTTAAGGAATATCAATCTATATCCTAATATTATATGTAGACATTACAAGCGGGCATTAATAATAAATAAAAATATCCACAAAATGATATTTTAAAAGGCTAAAACAATATGCATGAATCTAACAGTCTGTGGAGACTGGGTTAAAAATCAATGGATTATTCTTAGAGGTAAAAATATCTTTCTCTCTGAACAGAAAGAACTGAAATATCACAAATTAAAATAACTACAAAGCTGTGGCTACCAGTTCTGTAGACTATGGTTTCTCAAACTCTACTGTAACAATGAATCACCTGAGGATGTTGTTTAAATACAGATTCAAATAGGAAAAGATCAAGATAAAATCCATCTTTAGTCTCTGTTGTCCCTTCTAGGTTTAAAGGACACATTGCAAAAACATTAGTTGTTAGTTTAATTTAAAAATTCCAACTGAAGCAATCTTCTAAAGCAGTGAAAACAGAACATTTCATAACTGCACATGAAAGTAACATTTAAGAAAAAAAGAGGAAAGTGTTTCTTTCCATTTCTTGTTCCTATATTCCTGACAATAAACCTTTTTTTACATACTTAGGGATTTAGGGTCTGGTTCCAGGTGACTTTAACTAGCACAAAGACTAATTGGTATATGAAACTTGCTTGCTACCGCATGAATGAAAACATGTTATAAAGGGTTAAGTTATAATGTTACAAAAGAGCAAAAAATTACAAAAACTCTATACCTATAATGTAGTATAGATTATAGATTAAGAAAAGTATACCATTGCAAAATTAATACATATTGGATCATTGCCACACATTATCATCTAGATTTCCTAATCAAATTTAAAAACAAAACAAAACAACAACAACAAAAAACTTGCCCTAATAATAAACCTTATGTGCTTGGGCAGAAATTTTATTAAGTGCCCTCATCTGCTGGTTAGGGAAGGGAGGAGTGGCAGGAAGTCATTCTGCTTGTATTCATTGTTAAAATCAAATTTCACGGTGACTTGCTGTTGTGGTTTGTTAGTTTTGATTATGTTTAAGTCCGTGTCCACATCCTTGTCTGCAGTTCTTCTGAGCAGGAAGTGACTTGTGGATATATGACAGGTGACAAACACTGACGTTAAGCAAATTGCACTGAGATGGCTACATGCTGCCTCCCCCGAGGAGGAGGCAGAAATACCCCAAAGATCCCAGCTAAAGACAAAGCAGAGTTGCTCTGGCTGGCTGGAAAATGCCAACAACAGACAGCTAACTGCATGTAATTGTCATAGAGGAGGATGACTTTCTGAATAGTCGTCTCTGCAGGTTATGTGACAAATAGCCTAGTGACAGAGCTGACTGCCAATAATTTAGAGGCACAGGTTTCAATATAGAAAAGTGTGTGGTCAAACATCCAACCTCTCAGCTAAACCTGGTCAGATAAGCATCTCCATTAGCAATGTTATCTTTGAAGGTAAAAGGTTATAGAAAGGTTCTTGATTTCTGGACCAGCCAATTCCACCTTTACAGCTTGGAGTAACAAGTAATTATGGAATTATAATACTCTTTGGGGAGAGGGCAGGATGATGGTGAGGGGGAGCTCACTTACTCTCCGGCTACTGTGAATGAATCTGCAGCTATGAAAGCTATATACTGATAATTTATGGCATAGTAGATGGTAATTTTGAGGAGTGATTTGAGTGGTCCTACAGATTACCCACTTACCTAGTACTTCCCCTGGACAGAAGGACTACATTTTAAAAGATTTGTCTGTGTATTTACCTTGTAAGCATAATAGATGGCCCTCAGATTAGTAAGGAGACAGAAACTACATAGTGATTTGAAAAAGGAAAGTTTAATCTATTATTAAGAGAGGACTGGAGTAACAGGGAATTGGTTAGTGAGTGAAAGAGAATTCTAAATAATATAGTAGTAGACATAAGAGGCAACCACTATCCACAAGGCTGAGATGAGGGCCCAAGGAAGAACCCTCCCCTCATCAGCACTGAGAACCAGAGATCTCTATCGAGAGAGCACAGTGTTGGCTTCCTGATGGTAGAAAACCGACAGATGTGTCTCACTAGTGAAACTTGTCCAAAAAATCTGCCCTCTGGAGTTCCAGAAGAAGCCATTCATAGGGAGGTATCAAACCCTGGAACTTGCTATGTGCTGAGGATAACTGTTGGCTTCTGGGTGTGGATGGCCCCTGGAGTTAAAAAGCTGTCCCCTACAGTCTAATGCACTTTCATGTATAGCCTGGGCCAATATGGTGCCAAACTGGTCCCTGGAATAAAATTTGGGAAGCAGGCTCCCTGGATACCCAGTTTTGTGGGGCTCCCAGTGTACACATGTGTGGGGCTAAACAGAGAGTGTCAGGATCAGTGACTTAAGCTAGGGAACAGGTCCATGATGTCTATGATCCCAGGGTACAACATTACTGCCCAAGTCAAGCTCTGGAGAAAGTGGACAGGCCAGGGGTATGCCAGCTCTAGAGAAAGATGCACCATGCAATTACCTAACACTAAAGAAAACTATGTGGAGGCTGAGAAGTAGAGAAAAAGTATGCCCAGAGAGAGCCTAACCAGGAAGCCACCCTGAAACCAGGAAGGGAAACACCTTTTATTTTCAGTGTCCCTCCAGTGCCCTCTATTGATAAGGCTTAACATCAATGCCAGTCAGCAAAGGAGAAATATCTACAGGGCCCTCATCCATTACTGTAGAGCAGAAGAGAATAAATTTGGAACTGAGAGACAATAAATTGATAATAGCGTAGTCTATCCTTTTGACTACTCAGTTTCCATATGCACACACTTTCTCACACATTTGAACTCCTGTACAATTACAAAACAACTCTATATTCCACCAAACAAGATGCAAGGATCCTCCTTACAAGTGCAGAGGAAACCTCAAAATGAGATGCAGAGTGCCAAC